GGGGGGGATGAAAGTCCACCACATAAACTGAGGTTAGATAGATACTGCGCACTCTGTCTCCACAGTGGTCCAGGGAGCTGCCCTGAGATCCCACCTTGATTAAAGGGTCGTATTTCCAGAAAAGGCATTGCCTAGTAGACTTTCCTTGGCTCTCATATTTGCTGACATCTCAGGGTGGAAAGAGAATAAGTCTGTTCTTTTTCTGAGTCTCCGCAGCCTCTAGACGAATTCTTGGTACCTACAGGCCATTTAAAGGCTTAAAAATTCTCTCCAAACAAGAAAAGACTTAACTTTTTAGCATGAAAATTGCTTTATTTTAGTTCAATCACAACGGAAAACATCGCACAGCTAAATCAAGGACCTACCCAGCATTTGTCCAGTCCCGAACTCTATGTCTCAGTGAAGCTCTACACGTGACCGTTCAGACGCAGCGGAGCCTCGCCTGGGGTTTTAACCATTCACGGTCGGCTGCGGTTTTATTCATTTATCCACTACAAAGGAAAGAAAAAAAGGAAACCATGAGAGCTGATGCTAGAAGAAACAGCTTCATGTCCTTTCTCATGCCTCACACACCGTTTTGCCTGCACTTCGTACCCGCCCCCCAGCACGTTACATTACCCTATTACCAGCTCGTGGTCTCTTTTCTAATTTTGGTTTTACTGTATCCATACTCACATCTGTTTACACATATACATTATTATTATTATAGGTTAGGATCCTCATATGAGGTAGAATGTGTGGTATTTTTCTGAGTTTGGGTCGCCTCGCTTATATTATACTTTTCTTGCAAATTTAATGACTTACATTTTCCTTATAGCTGAGTAACATTCCACTTTGTGTAATTGCCACGTTTTTACTAGCTATTCCTCTGTCTGTACTAGGCTTTTTCTTTGGGGCCACCAACCAGTTCCCAAATCATGCCACAGAAACTTCTTAGTTATAAATGCTCCACCCAGCCTAGGCTCATTTCTGGATAGCTTATATGACTTAAATTAACCTGTTTCTCTTTATCTACATTTTGCCTTGGTGATTTTAACCTTTTCTCACCTTCTTGCTGTCTCTACACATCTGGGTGGCTGGCAGCTTCTTGGCCTCTGACCCTGAGGAGTCTCATTTGGTCTCTACTCTCCTCCTTCTAATTCACTCTGCCTGGCAACCACTCCTATCCCTCTCCTGCCTCGCTATTGGCCGTTTAGCTTTTAATTAGACCAATCCAGTGCCTTAGGCAGGCAAGGCGAGATGCAACACATCTTTACACAATTAAACAGACACAGCAAAGGAACACACCTTTACACAGTTAAAGTGATATTCTGCAGCTTAAACAAATGTGACACATCTCTGCCTAGTTAAATAACATTCCACAACATCTGTTGATAGAATTCTGGCTGGTTCCATTTTCTTGCTGTAGTAAACAGAGTAGCAAGCAATAAGCATGGTTGTACATATCTCTGGTAGGATGTGGAGTACGGAGTCCTTTGGAAATGTGCCTGGGAGTGAACTAGCTGGGTCTTATGATAGTTCTACTTTTTATTATTTATTTATAATCATTTTGGTTTTTTGAGACAGGGTTTCTCTGTGCATCACCACTGTCCAGCTAAACCCTTCCTTATGCTTTTATCACAGCAACAGAAAAGGAATTAAGGCAGAACCCCAAGCCAGGCAGTGGTGACGCACACCTTTAATCCCAGCATTTGGAGGCAGAAGCAGGCGGATCTCAGTGAGTTTCAGACCAGCCTGATCTACAGCGTGAGTTCCAGGACAGCCAGAGCGGTTACACAGAGAAACCCTGTCTTGAAACAACAACAATAACAACAAAAAGACAGATACCCTGGAGCTACAGGTTATGAGTTACTCAGTATGGGTGCAGGGGACTGAACTCTGGTCCTCCAAAAGAGCATCAGTAATGTCATCTGAGAAAATGCTCCCGTCAGACTGACCTATATGGAAGCCTGGGGTATTTTCTTGAATGATAACTCATGTGGGTGGCACCATCTCCAAGCAGGTGGCCCTGAGGCATATAAGAAAACAAACTGGGCTGGAGAGATGGCTCAGAGGTTAAGAGCATTGCCTGCTCTACCAAAGATCCTGAGTTCAATTCCCAGCAACCACATGGTGGCTCACAACCATCTGTAATGGGGTCAGTATAATGCCCCAAGGTTTTGGTTTGTTTGTTTGTTGTTGTTTTCGAGGGTTTCTCTGTGTAGCTTTGGAGCCTGTCCTGGAACTGGCTCTTGTAGACCAGGCTGGCCTCGAACTCAGAGATCTGCATCCCTTGCCTCCCAAGTGCTGGGATTAAAGGCATACACCACCAAGTTTTAACTATAGCTATTAGTCATGAAAAAGGCATAAAGGAACCAGAATGAGAAAGTAAGACATCAAATTATCCTTATTTTCAGTTACAGTCTGTCTTAGGGTTTCTATTGATGTAAAGAGATACCATGAGCATGGCAACTCTTTTTTAAAACAATTAAATATTTTAAAAGAGATTTTATGATTTTGAAGCTCTTTCTGCATGTACGCCAGAAGAGGGCATCAGATCTCACCATAGATGGTGGTGAGCTATCATGTGATTGCTGGGAATTGAACTCAAGACCTCTGGAAGAAGCAGTCAATGCTCTTAACCACTGAACCATCTTTTCAGACCCCCACAGAAATTCTTGCAAAGAAAAAAAACGTTTAATTGGGGTGGCTTACATTTTCAGAGGTTTAAGCCATTCTCACCATGATCAGACATGGAAGCATGCAGACAGACATGGTGCTGGATACATTTTGATATTCAGGCAACAGGAAGTGGTCTGAGACACTGGGCTTGAGCATATATGAGACCTCAAAGACCTCCTCCACAGTGACACATTTGGTCCAACAAGGCCATACCTATTCAAACAAGACTAATAATCTCACTTCCTTTGGGGGCCATTTTCTGTCAAACCACTACATTCCACTCCCTGGCCCCCAAAGACTTGTAGCCATAACAATGCAAAAATGCAGTCAGTCCAACTTCAAAAGTCCCCATAGTCTATCACAATTTCAACAATGTTTCAAAAATCCAAAGTTCAAAGTCTTTTCTGAGATTCATGCAATCTCTTAAATATGATTATCTGTAAAAAAATCAAAATCAAGAAGCAGTTCACATACTTCCAACAGTTAATGGCACAGGATATATGAGGATATACATCACCATTCCAAAATGCAGGGAAGGAAGCATCGTGAGGAAATACTGGACCAAACCAAGACCAAAAATCAGTTAGGCAAACTCCAAACTCTGCTTCTCCATGTCCGATGCCAAGCGCTCTTCAGATCTCCCACTCCTCTCGGCTCTGTTGACTGCAGCACACTTCTTTCTCTTGGGCTGGTTCCATCCCTGTTAGCAACTCTCCTCAGCAGATATCCCATGGCTCTGGCATCTCCAACATCTTGGGTTCTCCAAGGCAATTGAGGCTTCAACGTCACAGCTTCATACAATAGCCTCTCTAGGCCTCCATGCAAGGACACCCCTGAGACATGCCTGCTTTCCTCAGTCGCAGAGGAAGGTTCCAGAATGCCTTTCTTCTATCCTTGACTCTAGGACCACAGGCTCAGTAATCTGTCAACATCTGCTGCTCACTGGACCGGAACATGGCCCCTCATTCAACACATCTTCACCAGTTTTCTATTTCTGTGGTTTCTTTGACTGCTTAAACTTGGCTGTTCTAGAACTTGCTCTGTAGACCAGCCTGGCCTCAAACTCAAGAGATCCACCAGCCTTCCAAGTGCTGGGATTAAAGGCGTGTGCCACCACCACCTGGCTCTAAACTTCCCTTTAATTCCACTTCACAATTTGGAAATTTAGCTGGGTGGGGTCACCTCTCCCCTTAGTCCATCTCTTAATGTTTTTCTCCTTGAACCCAGAACTTAACTCCATCCTACTTCCAGGTGCCCCCTTTCTCAGCCTGCACATTTTGTATTTTTATTTGCTCAGATTGCTCCTTTTCTTTACAAATCCTTCTAAGCATAAACACTAGTAAGCAAAGACAGAGTTTTATGTGTTGTTTTGAGATTTCCTCTGCCAATGGAATTAATCCAAATCTCTTCATTCTGCCTCAGGCAGACTCTTCAAACAAGGGCAAAAAGGAGCTTCATGTTTTACCAAAATATCACAAGAACAATCTCTAGGCCACATATTAATATTCTTCTCCTCTGAAACCTCCTTGATCCAGGCACCCACAGTTCAAATCACACTCCGCACCTGTCTTTAATGTTCTTAATAGGATGGACCATTAAGCAGTACTTAAATTATTCAACTGCTTTTCTAATCCCTAGTCCTAAGGTCTATATTTGTAGGCAGAGCTTTCCTGTCCCAACTACCTGGTCCCAAATAAACATACAGAGGCTTATATTGATTACAAATGCTCAGTCAATAGCTCAGGCTTATTACTAACTAGCTCTTTCATTTAAATTAACCCATTTTTATTAATCTATGCATTGTCATATGGCTCATGGCTTTTACCTGTCCTCTTGCATGTCTTGCTTCCTGGGCAGCTGGGTTAAGACTCTCTCGACTCCCCTGACTCTGCTCTTCCTCCTCCCATCATTCTCTCTGTGTCAGTCTGTCTTGATCAATCTCTTCTTGCCCTGATATCAGCTAATGAGTTTTTTTATTAACAATGAGAATAATTCACAGCATATATTCCTTCCCAAAAAAAGCGTGGTCAAGCCTATCAGAGCCATATCCCACTCATTGTACCTACTTCTGTCCTATTTAGGGTTTCTATTGCTGTGAAGAAACACCATGACCACAGCAATTCTTATAAAGGAAAACATTTAGTTGGGGTGGCTTACAGTTTCAGAAGTTTAGTACATTATCATCATGTTGGCATGAAAGCAGACATGGTGCCGGAGCTGAGAGTCCTACATCTTGAAGGAAGGGGTCTGTGTCACTGGGCACAGCTTGAGCATATATGAGACCTCAAAGCCTGCCTCCATAGTGACACTCTCACTCCAACAAGATCACATCTACTCCAGCAAGGTCACACCTTCTAATGCTGTCACTTCCTTTGTGCCTTTGGGGGGGACAATTACATTCAAACTACCACACAAGGCAAGATGTTCTTTTTTCCTACATTCCCTTAATTATTTTCTCTTTTTATCTTAATATTCTCCTGAGACTTTCAGAGTTGAGAATAATTGAAGAACTGTATTCAAATGCATCATTAGACTGAACAAGGACGTAGTCACTGCATATCAACGACCAAAAGTCTGAACCTGCATTATTTAATTGGGACAAGAAGGGGTCTAAACCCAGAGATATGGGGATTGCCATTTGGTCATGGTATCTCTTTACAGCAGCAGACACCCTAAGTAAGACACCCTGAGAGCTAGTGTGCTTTGTGCTGAATGAGGGGCAAGAAACCAAAATGCCTACACAGGTAGCGCTTATCTTCTTAAAGACATTTCAAACAAGCAAGGGTGTTAAATACAATGGACTATGCTTTCTTGTATCCAGAACATTGGTGGTTTTGAGTTTAACTGTGTTAATGCTCATTGTCTTTTTTTGTTGTTGTTGACTTGGTTTTTTTTGAGACAGTTTCCCTGGGTGTCCTGGAACTCACTCTGTAAATCAGGCTAGGCTTGAACTCAAAGAGACTCACCTGCCACTGCCTCTTAAGTGCTGGGATTAAAGGCATGGACAACTGCCACCTGACTCTTAATGATATACTTTGGGCAATATATCTTTAAAAATCACACACACACACACACACACACACATACACATACACTGTAAAGACACATAAGCATGATTCTTTCATTTCATTCCCATGTCTTAAGCATGCCCCATAGTTTTCCTATAAGTCTTTCTATTTAAATGCTTGATAAACTCACCAGTTTGGCTTTACTTTAACTGGTCATGATCTTTTTTTTTTCTGTGTGTAGGCAAGGTTCCGGATTTACCTAAAGAGAAAAGGAGCTTATCAGGTGATTGGTGGCTGGCCTGAGCTGCATCCCCTTACCATTGACCCTGTAAGTGCACAAGAAAAGGCTGTTACTAAACACTGTGGAACTACAAACCTCCAAGAGGTGCAGCTCAGCTATAAGTGTGCATTCAGCATCTGTGGGACCCTGCTCACTCCCCAGAGTGAAAACCAATGAAGAAATTCCACTGAAATGACACATCACACACCCTCGGAGATAAACTCCCAGCCACCAGCTAGCTTTACCCAAAATAATTACCCGGAAACTGTATTCTTTTAAACACTGCTTGGCCCATTAGCTCTAGCCTCTTACTGGCTAGTTCTCACATCTTGATTAACCCATTTCTAATAATATGTGTAGCACCTTACCAGGAAGGATCTTAACCTGCGTCCATCTTGGAGAGGAGAGCTATACCGTCTGCCTGAATCTGCTTCTTTCTCCCAGCATTCTGTTCTGTCCTCTCCACCTATCTAAGCTGCTGTCCTATCAAAAGTCAAGGCAGTTTCTTTATTAACCAATGAAAGTAACGCATAGACAAACGACCCTCCTCCATCAATAAACAACGTACAAGGGGCGGGGGAATGAAGAGAGGGAGGTGACTCAGGAGATAAAACTGCTCATTGAATAAGCAGACACAAAAGACAAATAACATAATTCTACACCCATGGTAGGAAGATGTGGCCAACCCCAAGAAGCAGAAAATGGAGTAGCAGTTCCTAAGGGCCAAGGAAGAAAATGGGAAAATACACCTTCTTGGACACATTTACCTTCTGTTTGGAATGAGGGAAAAATAGTCACACTGGAAATTTACTTAGGCCGCTTAAGTGTAGACCTAAAATGGTATCTTTCATGGTATATGCTTTTACCACAAAAAGGAAAAGCACTAGCTGAGTGGTGGTGGTGCATGCCTCTAATCCCAGCACTCAGGAGGCAGAGGCAGGCAGATCTGTGAGTTCAAAGCCAGCCTGGTCTACAGAGTTCCAGGACAACCAGGGCTGTTACACAGAGAAACCCTGTCTTGAACTCTGCCGTAAACCCCCCCCCCACACACACACACAAGGTACAGGAGAGATCACAGGGAGGGGGGTGGTTAAAAACACCAGCTGCACTTTCAAAGGTCCTGAGTTCAATTCCCAGCAACCACAGGTGGCTCACAACCTTCTACAGTGAGATCTGATGCCCTCTTCTGGCATAAAGTCATAATACAGATAGAGCACTCATATACATAAAATAAACATTTCTTTAAAAAAGAGGGGAAAGTAAGAAATTCAAATAACATATTCATAATTGTTGTATGGAGATAGTATACCCAAAAAACTCTCAAAATTTTGACAATAAGAAAACAAACAAGCCAGGCAGTGGTGGCACACACCTGTAATCCCAGCACTAGGGGGCAGAAGCAGGAAGATCTCTGTGAGTTCGAGGACAGCCTGGTCCACAGAGCAATTTCCAGGGCTGTTACACAGAAACCCTGTCTTGAAAAACCAAATGAGAAGGAGGAGGAAGAGGAGGAAGAGGAGGAGGAGGAGTGGGGGAAGGGAAGGGAAGGGAAGGGAAGGGAAGGGAAGGG